AAAAAAACTCCACTGTTATCACACTTAGCAGAATTTCCTCATATCATGCAGGACTATTAGAAAGGCAAAATCAATGCAAATCAGTGGATATGTCTGCTATAATAGGATAGGTGTGTTAAGGCCAGTTGGAGCTAAACTCTGCAGGGCATTGGCCCTCCAGGATCTAGCTAGGAGACCCCTGTCCTACAGAGTTGTTACTTTGCACATGCTTTTTGATCATTACAAATAATAATGTAAAAAGATTTTCTTAGAATAGGAGATATGCTGTCTCTCGCATCACATACATTATCAATAGTTAAGTATGTGGTCTTGAAGAGGATCCTTTTTTTCTCTCATTTGGACTCGGTCTTGACTTGGACTCGAAACTTTTGGACTTGGACTTGACTTGGACTCGAACCTCTTTGGACTCGGTCTTGACTCGGTCTCGACTAGTCCTGGTCTTGGACTTGTCTTGGACTCGGCAAAGCTGGACTTGACTACAGCTCTACTTCAGCTCTGGCTAAAGGGCTGGGTGCCACAGAGCGCATGGCACACGGGCACCTTGCGCATCAAAGCGACTGCTGGGATGCGCTGACCCCTTAGCGCGATATGACTCTGTATCGCCGGGGTGTTCTTATTGGCCAAGTGATCAGGAGAAAGACTGTTACAACAGATGCATCGAACACGGGCTGGAGAGCCGTATGCGACGGCAGACCAGCCTTCGGGACGTGGTCAGAAAAGTTGTTGCACATAAACTGCTGGGAGCTCCGTGCTGTACACCTAGCGCTTGAGTGCTTTCTCCCGGACATTCTCCACCATCACATTCTCATCAGGACAGATAGCATGACAGTGGTAGCCTTTATAAATCACCAAGTGTGCGTGAGTTCACGGCCGCTGCTGCGGCTGGCGAGAGACATTCTTCTGTGGGCAAATCGACACCTCCTCTCCATCCGGGCAGTACATGTCCCCGGATGCTTGAATTACGGTGCGGATTTACTGTTGAGGGGCGGGGTAATCCACGGGGAGTAGAGATTACACCCTTTGACAGTCAATATGATTTGGAGTGTATTCGGCAGGGCGGAGGTGTATCTCTTAGCATCAGCAGAGAACACTCACTGCTCGCTGTTTTATTCGTTTGAGTGGTTATTCCTTGCTTAGTTGGGGACACTTCATTTCCAGCGATTATCGTTGGCATGATTGCAAAGATATTATTTAAACTGAACTGAGCTGGATGTTGACATCACTGAATTCAATGATGAACTGTCTTTAACTGAAAAATGAGTGTTTACTATTGTCATTTTGCATTATTGACACTATTTTCCTAATTAATGCTGTTCAGTTGCTTTGTCACAATCTGTATTGTTAAAAGCGCTATATAAATAAAGGTGACTTGACTTGACTTGACTTATTCACTGACACACTCTCCCCTGGGAGTGGATGCATTAGCTCACAGCTGGCCGAAAGTACGCAAGTATGCTTTTCCTCCAGTGAAACTTCTGCCTCCCGTGCTTTACAAAATCAGAGAGGAAAGGGAATCTGTTCTGTTAGTGGCACCGAAATGGCCCAATCAGCCGTTCCCAGAACTGGTGGAGATGTTGGTGAGTCACTGGCGTGATTCAATAAGGCTTCAGTAGTATTCGGAGGAAAGGGTAATTCCCCATAGCAATGTCTCGTTCCCTCATCTCAGGGAACTGAGGTTACGTGAGTAACCAAGAGCATTTCTAAAGCATTCAGTGCCATCTGCTGTTCAAAACTAAGCTCAAAATTGACTCAAGAAAGAATCGCGATGCATTCGTAAAATCTCAGAATCGATGCTGAATCATTTCTCGATTCACGATGCATCGATTCATTTTCCCAGCCCTAATCAACATCACCAACACTATCACAATCACAATCATCATTACTATAATGGAATCAAAGGCATCACTAATCACCATAACTATCACAATCACATCACAACATCATCATCACCACCACCACAATCATCAATATCACTGAATCAAATGAATCACTATGGCCATCTCCACCACATCATAAACTAGGGTTGGGTACCGAACTCGGTACTTTTAAGGGTACCGACCGAATTGCGTCGGTACTACCGAGTACCGATTCACGTTAAATCAATCGGTGCCAAATTTCGGTACCTGAGAACGCATCTGGGCGCATACGCTACTGAGAGAGAAAGAGAGACCCTGTGACGTGAGGTCACCCCTGCAACTCGTTCAAACAACACACAGGGCAAGCTGAAATGTTCTGAAGTGTGGTTACATTTCTAGGGCCATATGGTTTCGCGGAGATCACGGAGTCCATTCATAAAAATTTTATTTACTCTATAGCGCGGAATGCCACGGAATTCATACATTTTTGACGAATAAATCAAAAGTAGGTCTGCCACTTAATTCGAATCGCTAGTGTCTGTGAATATTAAAATACAAAAAGACGGTTTAAATATGAATCCCGCATGTTCCGCTTGCCTCTGTATGTATGAATGGCGGAAACGCGGTTTTGTTTTCTACACAAACACTGAAGCACGCTTGACGCTCGCGGTGATTTCCGGCCTCTGCATCTCACTATATGACGGCATGAACACAAAAACTTTGTTCTCATATGCGAGAATTTTACCGTTTCATTAGAGAAAACTATCAGCATCATACTGTATACACACAGAAACTTCATGGCAACCTGTCAAAATAAAAGTATGGTTTAACAGAAATATATCACTCATGTATTACTTTTGTAAAGTATGATGTACATCTTTAAACATTCCATTTTCTATCAAATTTAAATAAAACAATTAAATGATCAAAATAAATATTACAACTAGATTAATCACGTAATTGTAGAAAAAAATAATACAATTATTAGCCTATTAAAAAATGTTTTAAAGGAATATTCACACAATGTATTAATTTCAACATTTATTTTTTTTGGTTTGTTTATTTAAACTATTATTATTATTATAAAATTTTAACAATAATATTTAACTATACAATTATTATTATTATTACATTTTTGGTTTGTTTGTCAAAAAATAAAAAAGGGTTTAATTTTAATTTGATTTAAAATAAAAAGGTCCTATCACTACCTGCTAGGTATAAGTAACTGGTCATCTCCGAAGGGAAGAGCTACTTGAAACTTTTCCAATATCTTGAAGTACTGAGTCAGATGATCCTTTGGGAAACAGTGACTTTTGTTCAGAAACTTTTCTACAGTGGTTCGCTGCACCACTCCTCTAGTGCTGTCCCACTGACCAGTGCTCCTCAGAGTGAGCGTCTGTCAATCAGCACAACAGATGAGAGATTACTGTTATGAATGAATCGCAAGGAGGAGCAAGGTGTGTGTGTGTGTGTGTGAGTGTTTAACCTGTGAGATTATGTTAGAAAGCCATTGTGGGTCAATGAAGTACAAATCCTTTAGCTGAAGCACTGGATCATCAAAGTGCAGCAGGACACCTAGAGACAAACACAGACAGAAGGTCTGTTTACAAGGTTAAAACAATAACTCCAATATGTAAAAAGACAACTGAAAACTAGCAAAAATGCATAACCAGTTATGTATGGTGAAAACTTTCCTTTACAGGACAACACATTGAAATCTGACGCTTACATAAAAATCAACCCTTAGGAACATGCAAGTGCCCAAAACTGAAGAAACAACCAAATATTGGACATAAACAGCAAGAAGACATCAGAAAGGGATTCAGGAGTGAAACAACTCTCACCAGCCTCGCTGAGGAAGTGGATAGCATGGGGTAACTCTCCCTCCTCTAGCTGCAGCTGTGTTTCCTGTATGATCTCCAGCAGTCTGCTGTGTCTGAGCACTGGGAAATCAGTGGGTACATGTGACCTCTCCTGTAAAACTCTCCTCTCCAACTCCACATAACAGTCTGGAATCAGCTGCCCCATTACCGGCTGACCCTGGATCTGTCAATGCCACACACACAATTCATTAAATAAATACAATGCAATGAAAACCAGTTTGAAAGACATGATCACCCTTGTAAAAAATAAGTACACTTTGGCATACTTTAATAAGAATAACTATGTAAATAACATTCTTTATAAATGCAAACTAAATGTAATATTTTTTGATTGTTTTTTTTGGCAAATCCCCCCCTCACTGTAGCTCTCCAATCAAATCTCAAATTAAATCACCATGGCAGGTTTGACATCTGCACAAAAAAATCACCTTGAACCCAATCAGCTCTCTATACATGGCTTTGCGTAACCTGCTGATGGACTCCGACTCCTCACAGGCACATAGTATGTGGTTCTCTTTGATCACTGGAAAGCCCGGTTGAGACAGCAGCTCCTCTCGCAGCTTCCGAACACACTCCTGTAGGTGGTGCTCTTCACACACATCTGCATGAGTTCCAACCACAATCACAGGAGACTGTCCAGCTACGGCCTTAGAAAAACAGACATGCATGTTTCTGAAACATTTCATTTAGATATAAACTCATTTGTAATATTTCTCAAAGTTAAAGACAGTTTGGACATCAAAATATGTAAACTGTATGTTTTGGTAACATTATGTAGTATATTACATAGTATATCCAACTTTATTTGCATACATACAGTATAATACATTCATTTAGTGATCAAATTTAACACCCTTATGGAAATATGTTAATATTTTGTAATGATCATTTAAATCTGACTAATTTGTAAATTGTTTGTCATGAATCAACATCTCAAGAAAATGTTATGGGGTTTCAAATCAAAATATGACTTCCTGTTACGAAACAGGACATTGATTTCATACATGTCCACTGTCGAGGACACCAGGACTTAAAACATGCTATTACACATTTTGGGAGACACAACAAGTGAATAGGGAAATAAATTATATATTAATATTCCGATCAATTATTAGACATTATTATGAAAATCTTGCCAATTATTACTCCCATTATTACACTTCTTTTTTCATTACATGTTGCCCCAAAAACACATTAATATGCAAATTAGATCCAGTATATATAATGGAAAAAAACTGTTTATGGCCATTTTACACACATATTGCATAAAGCAAAATGGTATATCAAATCATTCTGTTATAACTTTCATAACAGAGTTGAGAATCATCTTTATACAAAGTTTGGTATAAAAAATATAAATTTATTGGTGATTTAAAAAAAAAAGGCAATTTTAAGTCTTATTTTTTTTGGCAAATCCCCCCCTCACTGTAGCTCTCCAATCAAATCTCAAATTAAATCACCATGGCAGGTTTGACATCTGCACAAAAAAATCACCTTGAACCCAATCAGCTCTCTATACATGGCTTTGCGTAACCTGCTGATGGACTCCGACTCCTCACAGGCACATAGTATGTGGTTCTCTTTGATCACTGGAAAGCCCGGTTGAGACAGCAGCTCCTCTCGCAGCTTCCGAACACACTCCTGTAGGTGGTGCTCTTCACACACATCTGCATGAGTTCCAACCACAATCACAGGAGACTGTCCAGCTACGGCCTTAGAAAAACAGACATGCATGTTTCTGAAACATTTCATTTAGATATAAACTCATTTGTAATATTTCTCAAAGTTAAAGACAGTTTGGACATCAAAATATGTAAACTGTATGTTTTGGTAACATTATGTAGTATATTACATAGTATATCCAACTTTATTTGCATACATACAGTATAATACATTCATTTAGTGATCAAATTTAACACCCTTATGGAAATATGTTAATATTTTGTAATGATCATTTAAATCTGACTAATTTGTAAATTGTTTGTCATGAATCAACATCTCAAGAAAATGTTATGGGGTTTCAAATCAAAATATGACTTCCTGTTACGAAACAGGACATTGATTTCATACATGTCCACTGTCGAGGACACCAGGACTTAAAACATGCTATTACACATTTTGGGAGACACAACAAGTGAATAGGGAAATAAATTATATATTAATATTCCGATCAATTATTAGACATTATTATGAAAATCTTGCCAATTATTACTCCCATTATTACACTTCTTTTTTCATTACATGTTGCCCCAAAAACACATTAATATGCAAATTAGATCCAGTATATATAATGGAAAAAAACTGTTTATGGCCATTTTACACACATATTGCATAAAGCAAAATGGTATATCAAATCATTCGGTTATAACTTTCATAACACAGTTGAGAATCATCTTTATACAAAGTTTGGTATAAAAAATATAAATTTATTGGTGATTTAAAAAAAAAGGCAATTTTAAGTCTTATTTTGATGTAACAAAGTGATAATATATCTAAGTGTGTGAGTTGTTTACTGACTTTTTTAAATGAGTCTTCCATTAAAACCCTATTGTTCATTCAGACTGATTCGAACGCGCATGAACACAAGAGGCGGGATTTATCGCATGAACCAATCACAGCTGAACATAACCAGTCATATCCAATCATATCGCAATGGAGGCATTGCCTCATCTCACGTGATTTTCCCCCATTCATCTCAATAACCCCCCACCAAACTCACGGCACGCTTCAGTTGGTCTGTTAAAACTCAATGGGCTCAGGGGAGGCGAGAGAGACGCAGACTCCCGCTGTTACTTTACCTGCTGGTGTCGCTGTTGGACAATGTTTCTTTAGAAAAACAAGTGATTTATACACTTTTTAATGTTATATTTTGTTATATTGGCATTGTTTTATTTTTTTAATTCAATTTTTTTTTCTCATCCAATATTTTGAAGAGACACTGCCTCCCTTGCCTACTCGGCGGAAAAGCCCCTGATGTGTATATATATATATATATATATATATATATATATATATATATATATATATATCCATCTTTATACACATACATA